TCAAAAGAGCATTTCAGATTGCATCGAATAGATTTTATCAAATATCTTGCGAACCGAACGAAGTGTAGTATGGAAAGTATAGTCAAAAAGGTCAACATTTAGGCTTTGCATGGTAAAATTGAGGATGTATTGAACATTGGTCAGTGGCGTACTATTAAATAGGAATCTTTCAGCATGTTATTAACCAATTCCAATAGATCCACCTTATACAGTGTGTCCCACTCACCATGCTCACCGTGGGTATCTTTTTAACGGTGAGAGATACGAAGTCGGTTGAATGACACCAAATGTGGAGTTTGTCAAGGCCAACTATAATGTGAAAAAATATTTTGATAAAATCTATTCGTTTTTGTTTTATACGCAACAGATTTTGATCATTTTCATGTCTCCTCCGTAACTTCTCTATTGATGAAAATATTCGAATGGGAATTTCACATTCTCATGGCAGTTTTTCAATGTGATTTCGGAAAAAATATGAAATTTATAGCAACTCTTCTAGAATTTGAGATATCAGCACCAACTTTAGTTTTTCAAATGTAGGTCATAGCTCACTATGACTTAGTTACAAATAACTTTTTTTTTTCTTACAGATGATATGTCGCAGTAATAGTTTTGTGTTGATAACAACGGAGTTATCGTCATTTATACAAAAACAAAAAATTATTTTGAAGTCGCCATCTTGAATTTATGAATTTTAACAAGACAATCATGATCATCAACCTCGAAAACCCCCACTTACCAATTTTGAATGGAATCGGACCAAATCTTGTCCACCATCTTGGAGCAGCTATTTTTTTTAATTTCAACAAAAATTCCATAACTATGATTAACTTGAAATTTGGCAGGTGTTCATAATTTCGGTGACAATACATTATGGAATTTCTGTTAAATTTAAAAAAAATGGCTGCTCCAAGATGGCGGACAAGATTTGGTCCGATTCCATTCAAAATTGGTAAGTGGGGGTTTTTGAGGTCGGAGATCATAATGTGTTTTGTTAAAATTCATAAATTCTAGATGGCGGCTTCCAAATAATTTTTTGTTTTTGTATAAATGACGATAACTCCGTTGTTATCAACACAAAACTATTACTGCGACATATCATCTGTAAGAGAAAAAGAAGTTATTTGTAACTAAGTCATAGTGAGCTATGACCAACATTTGAAAAACTGAAGTTGGTGCTGATATCTCAAATTCTAGAAGAGGTGGTATAAATTTCATATTTTTTTCGAAATCACTTTGAAAAACTGCCATGAGGATGTGGAATTCCTATTTGAATATTTTCATAAATAAAGAAGTTACGGAGGAGACATGGAAATGATCGAAATCTGTTTTTTGCGTATAAAACAAAAACGAATAGATTTCACCAAAATATTTTTCCACATTATAGTTGGCCTTGACGAACTCCACATTTGGTGTCATTTAACCGACTTCGTATCTCTCACCGTTAAAAAGATACCCATGGTGAGCATGGTAAGTGGGACACACTGTATACCTAACAATGTCAAAGTCATATCTGTCAACAACGGGTTGCAGAGCATATTGAAAAATTCTGGCTGGAAATGACTAATCGTTGTTGGAAACACAAACAGTTTAAGTGAGTTATACCATAGATCTACACTCGATTTCAATTTCAACGGGGTTAATCCCATCCCTTCCCATTCCCATCACAGGAATCATGGGTCTAGTGATTCTTCATATTCTAACGATTCCAGTGGAGTAATGGTAGAATCTTCACTCTTGAGTAGTTTCCAGGCTAAATTATACTGGAGACTTGAAATCTAGCTGGCTATTCAATGAGTCCTCGTATTGGTTAGTGTATACCGATATCGTTTCAAAATGGATTTCGAAATGTCATTATTGTGTGAATACAAGGGATCAATCAACATTGACTCGATTAAAACTGATCAAAAAATACGAATAGATAGATAATAAGGAGACCATTATTGAGAAAATGCATCACTCTACCCTCAATCCATTTGATCTATCACGAGACATTATGAGCTTTCCTCAAAATGGTAACCGTTTTCGAAGAAAATTCAACATATCCGGTTGGCAAATTTTTGTTGGGCCATCTTTTATGTTCGTACCTTGAGATCGTTAATTATAGCAATTGCATTGTATGCTGACGAAACTTCCAAACTTTTCGAAGAGAATTATGAGATTGATGGATTGGTATACGAACGTCATTATGGTAGATCATTTGGGATTTTCTCTACTCGTTTCTATGAAATGAGTGTTATTTGAGAATGTATTTATCAGAGAGCCTAGAAGAACAATTCTGAACTGTTGATGTAGATAGAACATGGTATTCATTACCGAAAACTGAACATGAAAATGGTTGATTCAAGATCGGTCAATAAAAAGTGTGATTTATTCCTCTTCGTCAAATATTTTTCGAGGCAAAGTGTCACTGACAAACGATTGGAATTTCCTTTCAGGCATCTCTCTGATAGAAAAGAATTCAAACGCAGTGGCAATTTGGGGCAAATCATCTTATTTGTACTACTACACGTACTTGAAATAAAAATCATATTTTTATTCTATAGGAACGAGGAGAGAATTTCCCAGATGATCCAGCAAAATGAATATATCATCTCCTCGATTAACCCATGGAATGAACTCACCTAATTGCATATGCGAAAGCTAAAACAGCATCTGAGACGAACTGCAGTTGATCTTCGAACACTGTGTTTTGGACAGTCAATTTCTCCGTTCCATTGCATTGTCTGACCATTTTCACATTGTAAGGCGTTTTCGAACTATTGGGGTATTTGCAGTTGAAGTGATGTTCCCAGAACTCTATAAAAGATATCGAACTCAACTCGAGGTAAATTGCATTGAACGAAGACTTCTATTTATATATCAACTTCTGGAAGATATCCCCAGAACAAAACGAACTTCTATAATAATCCCAGTGAAACTTATACTCTCGCTCATACCACAGTGAATATCCCAGTAGGTAATGAAAAAGACGGTTGTCGAATTGGGATAGATCGAAGTTTTCTAATCAACTATATTTGACTATCAACTCACCAACTCAATATTTTTTTCGAGAGACTTCCGTTCAGTTTGTACTAATGCACTCACAAGAATAGTAATAATAGTCTACCAGAAACATGGAATTAGAGTATGAGATGTTTGTTGAAGTACACAAAGAAAACAAGATCGGCCAATTATATTGCAAAGAAACAAATCTGAATTCAGAGAAAAAATTGAATTCAGTCTGTATTCTGATGTGAAAAACACACAACAGTAGTCTTCCTACCCTTCCGTATAAATGTTCCATAGATCAAAATATTCTTTATTTAGTAAATTTTACGGAATGTTCTTGGATTGACTAGGTTTCCGGCGCAGATTGAGAAACATTTCACGAATATATTGATACGAAAACAGAGAAGACAAATTATTTCCAACATTGCTCAATTTATAGAAAAAACATAAAAAAATTGACAAACAATGCTCTCACCTATAAATATCAACTAGATCAGATGTTGGAATGCCACTCGAATTATTAATTCAATTCCAATCACTTTGGGAAAGCCACTTATCGCCGCAGATATGCAGTCGAGGGTTGATCAAAGTCAGCCAGAAATTTTTGAATAAATATTGATACCATAAGATCGTTCAGAAAAACCCTGTACTGGATCACAATCTCCACTTGAAAAAACAACTCATGCATGAAATATACTGACCTATATTTCAGTTTGACCTCTTTCCAAATACTTTGTGATATGGATTTCGACGAGTAATCCTGAAACAGTCCGCAGAGAGGATATTGGAAGAACAGAAGAATTCGATAGTTATTGTCAATTGAACTGTGCATGATATTCGGAACTGAAGATAATTATCACCAAATTCGAAACACACCACTTCAATTTGTTCAAAATGAGATACTGATTTTTCTATATGGAGAGGAACTCATAAATTATCATCGTATAAGGAAAGAGGATGGAGACAAGTTTACCCGCATTCTCTATTGAATAGAAAACATTGAATAATGTGATGAGGGAAAGGAGAAACTATGTATCAATTTCTTCCAGATGAGTAGATCAGAGTTGTGTGTGGCTCGAGAGAAATTTTGAAGCAGCTCCAAGTGGCTATAAAAACTGACGGTAGTTAGAATCAGCAATCAAATATCATGAAAGATGACCTTTTTTCTTAAGAGTGAGAGGTTCATCGAGATTCTTCGTGGATTAATGTTACAATTCTTCGAATACAAGGAGAATGAGAGCTCATGGTGCATAGGCAGGTCAACGCTGTCAATGGAGATCATGATTAAATCACTATATTTCTGCTCGGTATTTTCATCAGTCATCAGTAATATACTGTTTCATGGGATGATCATGTCAGATCCATCGCGAACGCTGCTTTATTAAAACTCGGATTCTTGTTCCCTGTCAAAGGCTACTTTGAACTTCAACAGCTTCTCATTATCTAGGAAGCACAAATACGGCCTGTTCTAGAAAACTGTTCCCACATATGGGGAACAGCACCCAAACATACGCTGATGCTCTTAGATTCCATTCAGAGAAGAGCCATTTGCCTGGTGGGATGCCACCCTCACTAGCTCATTGACATCATTGAAACATTGTAGGAAAGTCGGCGACCCTCCACTTTTCCAGATACTTCCACATGAAATGCTCTGGAGAAATTTCTGCTATCATTCCATCATTAGCAGAGCCAGTCAGAAGAACTCGACAAGCGCTGTGAGCACATCCTTCGTTGTCAACCTCCGAAATATGTCGAACAGCACTTTAGTTTGTCAATGAAACTCCAAAGCTCTGGAATTCATTGCCTACGAAAGTATTTGCAAGATCTTATAATCCTCGAAATGTCAAAAAAATCATAGGTACATACGCACGATGTTTTTCGAACATTATTCCCTTTCGTGCGCTCGAAGTGATAGAAAAGACAACTTGCATATACTTACCGACGAACCACGGATTCCTCGTGTTGTTATCCACGCCTAGCGACAAAAAATACTCCTTGAAGCCCTGTACTTCTCTCGCTTGGGGTTGGACCGATAACGTTCCCTCCACTTCCGCCTCATTTCCTCTGGAAACGAGGGATCGGGCGCTCCAGCCGTCAGAACCGATCCAGGAGAAATATCCAGTAGCGTTGCATCTGCGGATGGCCTTCATCAGTTCCGCCACTTCCTGATCGGATCCGAAGATTATGCAACCTGGAACAATCGGAAATTGGGATGGAATGAATCAATTGGGTCAACCCTTCTATATCGGTGCTTAGGAGAGACGGAATAGATATACAGGGAGTTTCATAATTGAATGTCAATATTTGAGGAGGCGATTCTTGGGCCAATTCTAAAGAGGAAGCGTCATATAGATTGTCAAGACAATTATTCTTTCCATTTCCATTCTCTCGAATCAAAAGACAGAAATTCTTAATATTCACTGCCGGTTATTTCATTACAAGAAATTGATAAGAATGGACGAATGAAATGAGGTGTTTCAATTGAAACTACCATATTGTTGAATGAGCAAACTATCATTTGCTTGATCGGATTGAATAGCTCTCCATTCAAGAACTTCAAACGTGATAAGGAAAATGAGTTTTTAAAAAAGCAAAGTCTCGAAGTCGTCTCCACGAAATCAATTGGCAGTTAATCCTGCTTCAGAAAGGTTTGAGACATGTTTCGACCATTCAGATGGTCATCATCACTGATTGGTACCAGAAGTGGATCTTAAATGGATGAAAGTTATACTCAACATTTTGCATAGGTCAACATCATGAGTGAAAAGTGGCATGATGGAATTATACAATTATCAAAACCTAGAACATATGTTACTGTTGAACATCAATAATCTGATTACAACAAAAGTAAAAGTGTTACGATTCACTCATTCAATATCCTTCAACTATATTCTATCGCTATATAACCTCGTAAATACCGAAACACTTTTGTAGTTATCAGATTCTTAATTTTCATCAGTTACACATGTTGTAGGTTTTGATATTAGTATAATTTCATGCCACTTTTCACTTATAATGTTGATTTTCACAAGATGTTCAGTATATTTCATCAATTGTAGATTCACTGTTGATATTAATGATTGGTGATAACCATTCGAATGGTCGAAACATCTCTTAAACCTTTTTGGAGCAGAATTAACTGCATACATTCGCCAATCAATTTCGTGCGGGTACGACTTCGAGACTTACCTTTCTTGGTCGTTCAGCTCAACTTCGAGTATGGACTATAGAAAAAAAAGGATTTTTTATTTCTTTTAATCCATCATTCCCCATTCTTGCAGTTTTTGTTCCATTCCATTTGTCGAACGAACTGCATAGGGCAGCTGGGCAAATGGAAGTGTGGGTTAACAAATCAAAAACTGCAATAGCGAACGACTAGTGTTGCCGAGTTTCATTTTTAAATGACCGTTAGGTCAAGAAGACCATATGCTTTCGGGTCTCACAAAGTTGAAATATTATAATCAATATGTATTATCTCATCCTCCCATTGTATTTTTCTAACTTTTTTCAGCACTAAATGTGAAGAAATACACAAAAATCAAATTTCCTCTAAGTACCTTTAACAAATTATCTATACCTATCTTGAATTCCACCCACTATAGAACACATTCATTATTCTTAATTGATAATTATTGATGGTACTCTCGTATTGGTAGAGGTGTATAGGTATGGAAGGGATCATGAATAACATCCAACAATATTTTGAGACTTGACCAAGTTGAAATAATTATAGATGGGTACAAATTCGTACGTTTGGCAACACAACCTTGAAGACGAAATTGCAAAGATATTCAAGAATGTGTAAGAATTGATTCAAGAATATGGAATTACAAATCCTCTTCTTCTGATAACAATGTTGAGCTCATTTCTAGAATGAAGAAATATTTTTTATAGTGTCTTGGAACAAGATATTTCGAGTTATGTCTTTCAAGAATTGTAGTTTTCTCTACTAAATATTGTTGAATTACTTGTATAGAGAGTATATGATGAAACCAAATAAATATTCTGAATAAAAAATTTTCAACATTAGAGATATTGGGAAACTTTGCATCGAATAAATTATTTTGGAAGAAGAAGGTGTTTTCTCAGATCGGGAATTCGGAATTGAAAAAATGTATCATCTTCAATGGAGAAATTTTTTTTATGTGTGTACGTTGTTCTGGGATACCTTGTATTTTGGATTCGCTAGATCACTAAAATGATGTTAGGACGCCCAGTTGTAGAAACGTAATATGCATATTATCAGATTCTAATATATTATATTTTCATTCCGCTCATCTCAAACTCTCCATTGGGATCTAAAAATCCTCCCATTTATTGTAATAGTATGTTGAAGCGGACGAAGAGATCCTTCTGTTTTTTCAAGAAGATTTCAAATTAGTTGCGATGTAATAAAATTATGTGGTATTCTATTCTACGAGTTCCATCTTCCATAATATTCTACATGATACTGATACTATTCGGGAAAATCACAAAGTTCGCGGGACTGGTGTCGAACTCCAGAACTTCCGCGGACAAACCAATTTTGTATTGCCAACATAATATTCATGATTGTTCGAAGCATATTTCGATTTTTTCTCTATAGATTTCGGACTCATTTGGTGCCTATAACCTAAGTGGTTGTTTTTTCTAAACATTCATCAAATGAACAAACGAATGCGGGTTGAATCAAGAAAATATCTTTCAGTTTCGTTGTACTCCTCCTTGTATACGGACATTGTTTCGTTAGACAAATTTCCTTTGGAGGATACAAAATTGTAGTACCCACATGTACGTTTGTCGAGCATAGCTGAGAATGTTAAAATTAAAAAGCTAAGGTGATTCAGGCATCAAACCTCTGCATTGGTTTCCTCCTGAAAACTTGAATCCTATGTGGTTTTGCTTGATTTGAGTTCAGGACTATCCATGGGTAAACCACAATTATCTGAGGAATGCATCAGCAATAGCCTTAGTGTAGATTCCAAAGTCATGGATGGATCACAGACACAGACAGAGTTTCAGATGTATTCATTGTATTTGTTACGGAATAAATTGAAATTGTTGTCCAAATATTAAGAAACGCTTGAGATGTGTGTCAAGAAACACTGGGTTCATCACATGAAACGACGAAAAGAATTGAAAAAAAAATGTGTTGCATGATTGATGTGAATCGAAGATGTGGCTACATATATCTAGTTTATTATGATACTTGGTGTGCGATGGAACTCTAGTGATGCGAAGAATCAAAGTCGTCAAGTGAAAACCCAAAAAAAATTGAGGAAAAAATTGTGTAGGTGTGGTTATGAAAGATAATTCTGAATCTGAGATGAACCTACTTGAGTTTTGTTGCGAAGGACCACTAATGAAATTGCCAAATTATCACTTGAGATCCCAAAAACAATAGAGGAGGAAGTATTATGTAGATTCATGAAAGAAGACAAGGTTGATCTGAATTCTGATTATTGAAGTGTGTTCACAGAACAACAGTGCGAGGGTTTCAACCCAGGAAGCACAAACATCCCTGGGATGTTTTGAGATGTTTTGAATCAATCCCTTCGTATCTGAAGGAAGAATTTAGGTCTTTGGCTGGACAGCAACTCGAGGTACTGCACACATATAAACCATGTATGTAGCTCATCTCTCAATGTCTCAAGAGAACTCTATCCCAGTAGAGATATATTATCGGGAAATATGAGTCTTTACGAATCCTCAATTTTTTCCAAATTGGCTCACTGTGATAGTATTTATGGCCCTGCCCTCCTACAGACTGCTGCATTGCTTACACTCACCCGAAAAATTTCGATGTCTGGTAAACCACAATATCTACGTAAGAAATTAGTTCCGTTCTCACACAAAAATTGGCATTGAACATACACTACTAATTCTTAAGTCGATTTTTACAAGAAAGCTTTCATTATAATGCGGCCAAACTGTACAATTCCACCCCTGTAGAATATGAGGAACTTTCTCTAAAATATTACGAAAAAAGATTGAAAGAGCCTCGCTGTTCGTTGGATAAACGAGTCTTTGGAAAGAGATGTTCTGTAGGTCTCCAAAGTGGCCACGAAGGGGTGCAAAGCCTCAACTCGACAAGTTAATCTTGCGGGGACTGCCAAAGAAGAAACAATTGTTGATATCTCAGAAGAGCATCATCCATGAAAATATCTATGTAATATATATATATCTTGAACTAGGGAAAAAGCCAAATACTCAAAGTGGAATGCAATGGTCACAAAGAGAGAGGAACTCAAAGTCATTACCACATACTAGTTCATAAAATGAACGATAATGGTAGATAACGAGAAGAAAACAACTACTCTCCTGGCTATATGCCACGCAGAACATTGCATTACATCCTTCCGAAATCTATGCGATAGTTCGTATAAACGAATGAAATCGCAAGTGTTTCCGTCCTAAACGCTGAGCTGCGCTAAAGTGGTTCAGGAACGCTGACTACCTGCAGACCGGTTTCGAGCTGACCTGACCCAACGTAAGCACATCTCAGCATTTATACCATACGAGGCGTTCGAGGCAAAATGAAAACGCGAACCATTGCATTCCACTTTGAGTATTTGGCTTTTTCGGGAGGATGTAATGCAATGTTCTGCGTGCAATATAGCCAGGAAAGTAGTTGTTTTTCTCTAGTTATATATCATTATCGTTCATTTTATGAACTATATAGTATGTGGTAATGACTTTGAGTTCCTCTCTCTTTGTGATATATATCTTGGTCATGATAGTCTTGAAGATGTAGTTATTTTCTGTATCTACGTCATCTGATATTCTTGAATTAGTATGTGTGTGGTATATGTATATTCTTCCAAATGAGTTCAGAAGCAGCTCTGATGTAGCTGAACCCTGCCCTTTCATTATTATTCATCATTTATTTGTTCAATTCATTTCCATATAGATATTTCATGTATCATCAGTATTCAAATATGTAAATGATGAATAAAGACATTACTATTATCATTATAATTAAATCTATGAATCAGGGTTGAAATGACAGCGTTGTTATCAGTTGAGAACTTCCTACCAGGAATGCCCCACAAACTTGAAAACTACGTGAAGAACGTGAAGGTCTTGTTATGGCCAAAGTTTTGTTGGAACGTGATTGTTTGAAGGATAGGATGGTATGAAAGTTTGTTTGATAAAACTTCGTTAAGCGGCAAATTATGACTCAAACTTCAGGCTAACACGGTCCGAAAATATCTCCCTGCTTGATTCAGTTCTTATTCAGTTAATACGCCTTTTCCAGTTCATTTCAATATTAGCTTGTCAGAATAATGATTGATTCCAATTTTACATTATATATTGAATTATGTGTTCTCATTCCGTCCTCCTTCAATTGGTGGTTTCGTTGTGGTTTTAATTAAAAATTCCCAAGCCTACGTTCAATGCAACGCTGGAATGTAATATATGCTTATTTTTGTAGAAGATGTAAAATTGATGATATTTGTTCGCTGTTCGCTTGTGTATTCACTCAATGTGAATTCGGGGAAACACTGATGACCTTAGGATACATTATTTTGTGAAACTCGTCTATAAAAATGTATACAAGGTGGATCTATGTTGAGATTCAACAAACTGTAGTAGGTACTCGTTGAAGTGATGATAAACATTATACCTACCCTACAGGTTGTTAATTAATTGACTACGATTGATACAACGTGTGAATCCTCGGTTAATTTTAATAAGAAAACACTTGTCCTGAACCTCTTAGCTCGCCTCTTAGTTCTTGAGCGATAAAAGAAAAGCTACAGTGCTATATGAGATCTCGAGAAAACAGTGAGTATTTCATCATAATTCCTCATCACTCTTAGATATTTTCATGAAATTCTGTGAACACTTATTCATTTAAGTAGCATTTTTTGACTGGAACTGTTTTTCAAAATTGTGACGTCCGTACAGGGTTTGCAACCAAGATTATATGTAGAATCCCTATTTATTTTGGAGCAATTTTGGTTTCAAGACTTACTTTCATACGTCGTACCGTTTTCGCGTGAAAAAACATATACCAAAAATTGTTTTTTCCCTGTTCATCGATATTGTTTTTGGTATTTTGTTAGGATTTAATGAGCACCCACAATGAGTGGAAACACATTTTATTTCGGGACGAGAATCAATTTTTTACTTTCACCAGTGATGATCATGTATAGGCCTAATATTAAATGTTTCGATCAAAAAAAAAACCTTACGCCTATGATGATAATACACTGAGGCTCAAAATCTAAGAGGTTCAGGACATATATTGATATGAACCTTTCTCCTTGAAGTCACCCGAGGATTCACACCTTGTATCATTGGCACTCAATCAATTAACACTCTGTATAAACATATAAGTTCTCTGAATTATAATGTCGTGCGACTTTCAACGAAAACAAAAATAATTTCGTTGAATTTTGTTTCAATTTCGTGGATTCCTCATGTAATACCCACCGGGTAACGCATTGAAGACTCAAAAGAGAGTTTTTTTCACGTAGAGAAACATATGCTTTCATATCTTGAACATAAAATTGAAACACATAAAAAACACACGTTAGGATTTGATGTAATTTTTTCCTTTGCCATCCCTAGATTATGCCTCCACTGTGAAGGTTTATTGAAAATTTCCCATTTGATCTGTGAAAGCGTCAAAAAATTTGTATTTATGTATTATCATACCCTTTTTCACGAAAACGAATAGTTTGAAGAGTATGTTTTTCTACCAGCAGTGTTGAAAGCATGAAAGAGTCATTTTAGTGCGAAAAAGTGAATATATGTTGAAATTATTAATAATAATATTATAATTGAAGAATTCTCAAGGACTCAAAACCTACAGAACTTCAAAAGAGATTACACCACCTATCTCCTCTTCCTGTCCCCCCTAGGAACGCACGATGTTCTTCGAACATTATAGGAATTCCCTCTTGAGTGCTCCAAGAGATGAATAAAAAAATTGTCCCTTGTAGCGCACGAAAGGAAATTCCTATAATGTACGTGGGTAAAAAAAAAGTGTACTTAACACGCGATTGCAGATGGCTTATTTTGACCTCAGGACTATGTGCTGAGATTTTGTACAGACCTCTCAGGCACACCCTGTATAATAAAGGTAATAACGTGAACTTTCGTAATTTCGGACCAGACCCTGGAAATTTATTTCATGTTCCTTTTATCGCAGCTCGCAGGACCCTTTGTCAAAAAAATGTCACGTCAGCACAATAAATCCAGCTACAGTCACACAGAGAACTTGACGTGGATGAATTGGGCACCTTATTCATGATATTGAGTATCATCAAACTGGACTCATGTTTCAAAGGAAAAACCACTGAATGTCACCCGATACTATTTCTTGCACTTCCAGGACTGAAATGTTCCTCTCAACAAGGACTTGAAGGTTCAATTCAACTTTTTATCCGTATGTAGGAGAGCCTGCTACAAATTTCAAACAGCATCCGATAACGAAATGTCCCAAAGGCATGTAAAAACGTTGTATTTTATCGAACGGCACATGTGCGGTGATTCGCACTTAATTTCGCGATTTGATAACGAGATGAGAGTTATGCCTTCCGATACTCATTTATTAATAGATATTAAAAATCTACCTGTTCCACCTTCGATCTAAGCCAAATCCAGGGGTACAGCGATTTATTTGCTGCCATATATATTTGCATGTATATATCTGTTTATATACAGGCTGTATCCAAATAAAATAAAAATTGAAGGGGTGATTCCTTGTGATACAGGGTATCAATATTTTCATGAAAAATCGTTTTTTCATTCATTACTCAATTGTCTGTTCATCAATTCCAATAAATCGTTGTGGTTTCGTTAATAGTGATATGGAGCTTCTTCTGGTGCAATTAGATTCGAAATAATATTTCCAGTGGCGTCACAGTGGGTAAACTTATCGATATCTATGGTGAATGTCATTGTACGCCACCGGTTCTTCTGAGATTCATATTATTATCAGATTGAAGTATTGAAGTATCTCCTGTGTGATTTTTGTATTTGTTTTCGAGGAAACAATAAAAATTTGATTCGACTCCAAATTCAATGTATAGGTGTTTTCAAGACTTGGCATTACTCAATAACCCTAATTAGAATCATTTTGAATTTTTAGGGCTTTTTCAGTCTCCAACCATACTGAATTTTTGCACCATAAAAGCTCATACAGGGAGCTTAGAAATGAAACAATTAATACTTCCAACTTCAACATCCTGTATCTCAAAAACGGAGCACGTTAGGACACATGTTTATATGAACTACATTTGCCAGAATATCACAAGGAATCACACCTTGAACTTTTTCGGCATTATTTAGGTACACCCTTTATAGCAACAAAACTTCTCTTCTGGATACACTGAAGTTTATAACTCATTGCAAGTTTTGTTTCCGTGGGATTCTTGATCAGATCAGGATGTGAACCGATAATTTCAATGTCTGGAACGTCCAATATCACTCTATCATTTTTCAGAGACATGCTGTATCCAACGTCAACCGTAAAATGTAGGTATCATATAGCAGAGGAAGCCATTTTCGATTCAATTTACTTACTCGTCTCGAGCAAAATAATCCAGACTGGATTTTTACAAAAAAAACTAATTATATGAACTTACCTCTCGCTCGCGGTTTAGTCAATAATTTTTGTACGATATTATCGTACGCAGATTCCCTAGCTACTCCTGAATCTTTCACCAACTTCTCCTTTATGGCGATGCATATATTGAATTTCGCGAGCAGATCTTCTAGTTCTTCAAAAGCCTGAAATAAAAAAAGTCATCGTGAAAGAATGGGGTATGAGTTCCACATTCTAGAAAGTGCATGTGAGGTGAAGAGGGGAATTTTCATTTTCCTTTTATTACTTTTTTTTTTCGATTCCAAATTATTTCAACTCAGGAACAACCCACAATTCTTCGCAACCTCAAGTGAATCAACCAGCTCAAAGTAGAATGAAATGTTGATGAGAAGCGAAAACTCAACAGATATTTACGTAACCATTTAGGAAACTCGTCTTTTTTTTATATATTTATACTCATTGCAAACAGACTATGTCTGATAAAATGTATCAGTAAGGGATTGGTGACGAGAATGGAATTAACTAAAGCTAGAATTAAAAACTATATACATTTCAGAGATTTTGAGTCACATCATTCATTTCATAACACAATTAGTATCACTAGTAATATATATTGAAATAACAATAACAATTACAATGGAAAATTAAAATTATCAACTTGGATATATCACAGGTGAGAGAGAAGTGAAGTTTTGGAGATTGTCCATATATCAATTTCACATGTTTTCAAGAAGTTGTTGAGAGTTGTTGAGCAACTGTTGATATGGGGGAACTCACAGTTCATACTTTGAAAAGAGTATTTTTGATCTCATTCATAAATTAGGTATACATTGATAGAGATATCACAAATAAACACGATCTGAATCTTCTCACGCTATATTTACTCTAAGTCTCTATGTTGAAATCAACCATTTGGTGTTCATATGATATACACGCATTGGATATACACCATATCTTTTCAAATGCATATAGACCTGTGGGGAATTCCGTCTGAATATATCAATATAATTCTGTCTCAGAATTCCAAATAATACTACAGTACTTCAACAACTATTGATGGGATATATGAGTTGAGAAGCATTATGCAAGATTGATACTGAAAATCCTGACTGGATCTCTATATAACTATAGCACAATGTTCATTGAATGAAAAATTCTCTGTAAAAACTGTACCTAGATCTTTGATTTCATCTAATATCTCCAGTTCAAACTTGATAATGGAATATTTTTTTTCCTTCTAGTATATAAGACTATTTTTCCTTTTTGATTCATTTAGTGAAAGGTCATTAACATCGCAATATTCATTGATCTCATCAATGATAACTTGAAATGTTTTTGTATCCTCTACTGAAGTAATTTTCATAAACACTTTTGAGTCATCTGCATAAAAAAGAAATTCTGCATCTTCGGGGTAGTCATCAATTTCGTTAAAAAACATAATGAAGAGCAGCGGTCCCAAAATCGAGCCTTGAGGAACACCAGAGGAACTGATGAAGCTATCTGACTATTTTGTGTGACGATGGGATTTTACAGGAATAGCGATGCGAGATCCCGCGAGACACAGAATTACACAAAATGCGTTTTCCAAACTATATTCATACGTACATAATTTTTTTCTGATTTTGATAAAAAATTTACCTTCAACAGAAAAAATTACTAGTTCTACATGAGGTCTCTGGATTATGTACAAAATTCAGTAGGCAAGTTGACTTTGCCCGTCAATTTGAAGTATATCCGCCAAACAATAATATCATGGTATAAGTCATGGAAACCATCCATCCTTCTCAAAGTGGTCCAGATTTTTTCAAAGAAAAAACAAAATACACAAAGTCGGTCGACCACAAATTATATTACAATTGCTAGTGTGACTAGTTTCGGCTAAACAGCCATCTTCAGACAAAATTAAATAGAGTACCTGTAAGAAATGAAATTACAGACGAACAATAAGTTTGCTGAGGAAAAAACATACCTAGGCCATGTGGTAATTACAAATTCATCAAAAAATTGTTTTTTAAGCGGTTATATCAGCGTATAAATATAATCAGTCCGGTAAGGGGGTGATTAAATTTTTATAGCGGCTGAACAGCCAAAAGAACCTTATAATCATGAGGTTCAACATTGGCACGAAAAAATTTTTTTGGAAGATATTTAAATTCACTCAACTGAGTTTCATCTTGAATGGCTATTGAAAGACAGAAATCCAACAATCGCCAAGGTAAGCAAATGACAATGACAGCATGACAAGACTGAATGACAGTGACAATTATACAAACTAAATGACATGACAAAATCATCATAATTTGGTTTTGTCAAAGGCAGATAAAGGCAATTGCTTGGTTGTTATGAATAGACAAGACTATAATTCCAAAGTTGAGGATTTTCTGAGCTCCGGTTCATTCAATTCAATAAGGTTTGATCCCACTAAAACCTACTTCACAAAATTGAAAAAAGAATTAAATATTGCTTCCGAATCCTTACAAGAATTTGGCAAATCCGTTTTCCAATTATACCCCATGTGCCCTTCCACACCACTTCTTTATAGTTTACCTAAAATCCATAAACTGAACATTCCCATCAGACCAGTAGTTTCGTTCATTAATTCTCCATGTTGTAAACTTGCACCATTTTTAAACAATCTCCTCAGAGATCTCACAGGTTTCAATAATATTCATTCTGTTAAAAATTCTATTGACCTTGCTAATAAGATTAAAAACATTGTCATTCCTGATAACTCTGTACTAGTTTCGTTTGATGTCACCAATTTATTCCCTAGTATTCCCCCTGAAGATTGCCTTATTTTGGTTAGAAATCTTTTGTTTGGGAACAATGTCCCAACTCACCATGTTTTAAACATTTGTGATTTGTTAAGTCTGGTTTTGAACCAAAACTTTTTCCAATTCAATAGTAAATTCTACAGACAAACTACTGGCCTAGCAATGGGTAGTAACCTCTCCCCCTTATTAGCAGAAATATTCATGAACAACTTAGAAAACCAATTTTTGAATAATCCTAATTACAATGCAAAATTAATCTTTTATTACAGGTATGTGGATGACTGTTTGCTACTTTTTGACGGTTTTTCTCATGATGTCTCCAATTTTCTGAATTACATTAACTCCCTTCATCCCAATATTACTTTTACTAGTGAATTGGAAGTTAACGGTGCTCTGCCTTTCCTTGACTTACTCATATCAAAAAACCTTGAAACTCACACTTTTGATTTTGAAATCTACAGAAAACCTACATCCACTGATACAGTGATTCCATTTAATTCCAACCACCCACCTTCACACAAATTTGCTTCATTTAACTGTTTTTTCCATAGAGTTTTTTCATTACCGCTATCAGATACAGCATTCAATAAGGAGATTAACATTATTAAACAAATCGCTATCAATAACCATTTCCCCTTAGAACAAATCATGAAGATTTATTTCAAATTTTATACAAGGTTTAGGCTAACTTTTAATGTGACTTTGAATCAGTCTTTAGAACCCCCAGTTTTCAGATCTTTACATTTTTTCGGTAATTATTCAGTCCAAATTTCAAAAATTTTCAAAAACTTCAATATTAACATATCCTATAAAACTTCTTCCAATCTCAAACACCTACTTGTTAATTCTAAAGATAAAATTTCTCAGACAAAAAAGTCAGGGGTTTACAGATTAAATTGTAATGATTGCAATTCATCTTATATAGGCCAAACTGGTAGAAGTTTTGAAACCCGCGCATCGGAACATTGCAGAATTGTCCACAAATTTCTCAGATCAGATATTCATGACCCTTCCTCTTCCTTTGCTAATCATATTATTGATTCTAATCACACTTTTGATGTCAAATCCAATATGGATATTATTCACATTTGCAATAAAGGTAAACGGCTAAACCTTTTAGAAATCTTGGAAATTCAAAAATGTATCAATAATCCAAATATTAATTGCCTCAACGACCAAACTAATTTTGAAAGAAACCACATTTTTCGCACACTCAAATTCTCATGATCAATTTTCCCGTTTTCAGGTACTTAAGCCGGACCTGTTTACTCTTGGTGGTGCTTCTTCTTCTTCTGCCTTTATTACTTTTACTACACTTGACAATTCTTCTTCTTCCTTTTGGTCTTCAACCTTACCACGTACTTCTCATAATTTTGTTACAAGGAGATTATTTAATTAACCCATTGTTTCCTTTGCAATTATTTGTTATTTTGCCAAATAGTATTCTAGGCATCTTAAGTATTCTGTACCTTATGATGATTTTGTCATGTCATTTAGTTTGTATAATTGTCACTGTCATTCAGTCTTGTCATGCTGTCATTGTCATTTGCTTACCTTGGCGATTGTTGGATTTCTGTCTTTCAATAGCCATTCAAGATGAAACTCAGTTGAGTGAATTTAAATATCTTCCAAATTTTTTCGTGCCAATGTTGAACCTCATGATTATAAGGTTCTTTTGGCTGTTCAGCCGCTATAAAAATTTAATCACCCCCTTACCGGACTGATTATATTTATACGCTGATATAACCGCTTAAAAAACAATTTTTTGATGAATTTGTAATTACCACATGGCCTAGGTATGTTTTTTCCTCAGCAAACTTATTGTTCGTCTGTAATTTCATTTCTTACAGGTACTCTATTTAATTTTGTCTGAAGATGGCTGTTTAGCCGAAACTAGTCACACTAGCAATTGTAATATAATTTGTGGTCGACCGACTTTGTGTATTTTGTTTTTTCTTTGGATATCATGGTATGGTTACAGAATAGATGTGTCACAAATCAGCGACACAAATTCACGAAATACACTCTATAGAATCCTTTTGAGTGACTACAAATTTGAATATGAGTAAATCCATCGAGTGATTTTTTCAAGTGATTTTTCAATAAAAATTGGGTATTCTCACAATTTCTTCTAATGATGACACTGTGAGATCACTCATTTTCTAGCACGTTCACCAAATAATTGATAAACGGGCCGGTACAAGCAGAATAATGTTATAGTGTTCCCTTATCTGTACCGTCTCAGTACCTGTTCAACGAGCAAACAGTAAAGAGTGTTCACTGTATTGTCACTATAACAAGTTATAATTATTCTAAATGAAGAGCTTCGAAGAAAAGGAATGTCCGAATTTTCCTGGTCATCGGCGAAAGGAAGACTCCAGGCCGACCGAGAGGCCGTTTTGTCCAAATGA